TCCATGGCACGCCGCAAGCCCATGATGGGTGGAATGAGAGGTGGCATGCCTATGCGAGATGGCATGATGGGTCGTGGAGGTAAATGTCAACAGTATTAATTAGACTGTTTAATGGCATGTTCACACTATTCTTCACTGTCAGGTGCTTATGTGAGTTGAAACCCTCCCCATGCTTTTGGCTCCACACAGAAAACTTGACTAAAGTTGAAATATTGGCTGCCCGGCCTCTCGCTTAAGATGACTGTTGCTAGACACAGCTGAAAATGTGTGAATACAATGGTGTGATTTCAAGTGCTATGATTTCCTTGTCTCATCAGGTATGATGGGCCGTGGAGGAGACCGTGGCGGGTTTGGCCCAAGAGGTGGTCCACGCGGTATGGGCAGAGGTGGACCCACAGGAGGCAACATGCAGCAGAGAGCTGGCGACTGGGAGTGTCCTAACCCGTATGTTTTACTTAATAGTGCCGTTTCTTCTTGGATGCCTTTTTGTTGTATCAAAGATTAGTTTAATTTATTTAATGGTGTCTGTTCCCAGTGGTTGTGGCAACCAGAACTTTGCCTGGAGGATGGAGTGTAACCAGTGCAAAGCCCCCAAACCAGAAGGGTTAGGTGGTGGCCCTCCCTTTCCCCCCGGAGGTGACCGTGGCAGAGGTGGAATGGGAATGCGTGGAGGTAGAGGTATGGACCGTGGTGGGCCGGCGGGAGCTGGAGGCCCAGGTGGCCCTGGAGGTTTCCGTGGAGGCTGGGGAGGCGACCGCGGTGGATTCAGAGGGCGTGGTGGAATGGATAGGGGAGGTTTCCGGGGGGCTGGACGTGGAGGACCACCCATGGACCGAATGGGTGGCAGAGGTGGAAGAGGAATGGGCCCACCAGGTGGCAAGATGGACATGAGGTATGATTCCTCTTAACCAAATAGATGTGTGTTTGAAAGTCATTGATAAAAGTAAATAGTGTCACTTAGTACTTTTCTCTTCTGCTCTTTTTAGGGACCATCGCCAGGAGCGCAGAGAGCGACCCTACTGAAGGAGAACTTGACTGTTCCTCTTGTGGAATTTTTTTTTAGACAACAATTTTTAATTTATGATTCCATACTTCAGTGGTTATAGAACTGCTTTCAAACATCCTGTGCAGTGTCAATTCGTGTGGGTTTTTTTTTTGTTTTTTTTGTTTACCCTCGTTTATGCTACATCTTGTATTTTGCATGTTTTTGTTTATTTGTTTTTTAAATATGCAGATTAGGTTTGACGTTGTATTGTAAAATGCGTCCCCCCCCCCCCCCCCCCCCCCCCATTCGTTAACATACTTGCTTCCCCTTTCCCATAATGACAATTGTAATGAAGACAAATTTGGGAAATAAAATTTTACTGATTTGATGTTTGAGTTTGAGAGCTTTACTCAACTTTACAAAATGAAGTCATACAAGAAATATATAACGGATAATGGTCTCTTTGAGTTCACAGCAGTTGTTTGGGGGGGGGGGTATTTTTTGGTCTATTTGTGTCCAGTGGCAGGCAGCATGTGTGATTATGTTGCTGTTCAAGACATATCTGGTAGGTGGTTCTTAAAGGAAATAGTCATTACGTGTACAGGTAATATCAAAGTCAAATGGAATTTAAAAAAAATAAAACTTGTTTGTTAACAAAAGTTAAGTGAGTAATGAGTTTGAGTGTTTGATCATGCTAAAGCAGTGTGAAGCTCCTTGTTGCATATAAAGTGACTCCGTGTTGCTCCAACAAATTAGGGAAAGTTTCCGGGCTGCAAAACCTTTTTATAGATGTTGAAGAGTTGCACAGTTTCATAAGTCTGCAGTGGGAGTTGTTTTTTTTTTTTAATGTCTGCAGAGATGATAAACAGGCACCTCCTTGTCCCACTACAGATCATAATAGAGTTCTATTAAAGCCACATTTTCCTGTGGTCTGTGATGAATTCACATGCATGTCATTGCTCTCCTTGGAGGCCAAAGTGTAGGACAAATTAAGGTGCCTTTTATAATGTTAAAAAAAATAATAACCCTTGTGCCGCAGCCTTCCTTTAACTGCTGCTATGGACATGAAATGTTTTGTGTTCCTATTACTGTATCGTAAAGAGCTCCTCAGTGTGTTAATATTTTGAGTGGATCTGCCACTTTTAGACCTACTTTTTTTTTGTTGTTGTTTCTGCTGTTCACTTCTTGTCTATAGGTGGAGTACATCTGCAGGTCGAATCCTGCAGCTGCTGTTACGTTTCTTGCCAATAGGTGGCGCAGGTTGGACAGAAGCTTTCAGTGCTGCAGTTCTGACTCACAGGACACTGGCTGGACCTGATTTCTGGTGCTTTGCGTGTTTCCATGTTTACACAAAACAGTAGCATACAGGACAAAGCTTTTCTTATTAATGACTGACTTTAATTTTACTCTTCAGATGTAAGTAAAGTCTTAACAAATTGCCAGTAACTTATTTTCTGCCTTAACTGTTGCCTTGCACAGCTCTAGAATTGTAACTTGTCCTAACCAGAGGCAAGTAGGCTACCTGTGTATGTTTAGATATCACAAATAACACAGCTATTTTTCTATTTTTGTTCCTCATAGCTTCCTATTGTAACTGCATTCTCACATTCTCCTTATTGTGTTTTTTAAAATGGAGCAGTATTCCCTGTTAGGCAGTCCAGTTGAATTAAGCATGCTTATTAATCGCAGATGTCAATCGTTGGCACAATTTATTTTCACATCTGGCAAACATACGACTGTTCAGAACATCCTACAGCTCTTTGAAGTTTTCTTTTCGTACACCTTTTGAATTACCACTGGGAAAAATCCTGCTTGTAGGAGTCTGTCAAAAGTATTTGGTGACACTGTATGGCACATCCTTTGCAGTGTTTTCTGTTTAGAAGTTAGCTTGTCTACAAATTTGCCTGAGTCGAACACTTTGCTGTGGCTTAAACACGCAGGCTTATATCTGTATGTTTCCATACCTGTCATTTTGAATACAGCAGCTGGCTTTCATTCAGACCACCTAAGGTTTTAGTGGGACACAAAACCTCTTCCATCTCCAGGACTGCTGTCGTTTCTGATCCTGACCTGTGACTTTGGTGTGGAGAGGAAAGAAAAACAAGTTTTTCATGATTATAAATAGCCAACAGGTCGTTCTGTGTTCACTCTTAGCAGCTCACATCTTTATATATGAGAAGTGGTCTGACCTCACCATCCTGTTACTGTGAGATACAGTAATCAAGGCTCATGTCTGCAAGTTTCCCTCAGGGGAAACCCTGTCCCAGCTGACATCTTGAAGTGCTTCTCATTCGCTGTGGCCAGTTGTTCACGTGGATTAATAGAGTGCTGAATTCTCTCCCTCGCGCTCTCTCTTTACTGACAGAAAAGCTGATTCATCCAGGCCCAGAAAATGATCTCATCAACCCCCACCTTCTCCCTCCTTGCTCTCTAGCTCTGTCCCCTCTCTCTCTCTCTTAAACAGATACACATCCCTCTTTTTAAATGAAAACAAGCCCTCCTCCTTGGCAGTGGGCTTTCTTTAAATTCAAACAATCACACATTAGGAGAGCACATGAGCAGCTCCAATAGATTGTTAAACGGGGGAATGAGATAGTGGAAAGGTTTTCTAAAGGCTCAGTCAGACGCTTTCAAACAAAACATCCAGGTATATTTACATACAAGTGAAAAGATAAACATTTTTATGAAAAATAAGGGGTTCTGTGTATGTCAACAGCGATCAGATCAAGTGTCCAAATGCATAACTGACAAGTGTTCAACAGCATCAGAAAACATTAAAAACTTTAGTTGCGTTTGTATGAAGAGACTGCTTCCATAGCAGTTTGTAATCATGTACTTCAAATGTTGGTGGTAATGCTACCCTTTAGTTCGCAGTCAGATCATAGACTGTGTCTTTAAAGCTCCAAGAAAGTATCCATGATGATTTCAAAATTTTTACATACCATTAATGAAACCTGAAAATCAGGTCACACTTGACCCAAGTTTCAAACCGTATGTTGAGCCTCCAGTCAAGAACTGTCTGTTGTTTTTGTCACTTGTTGGTCTTGCATTCTCATATCTGCATATTTTTTAGACAATAAAGGAGAGAAATCTAACATGTTTTTCTATGTTAACATAACACTAAAGTTGACCTAACTTACTAAGGGCTCCCAAAACGTAGTCCACTATCCTGCACCAACAGCAGCCTTGTGATCTTGTGCAGTATACTACTTTGCCTGTTTACATCCTGCTTGACTGGACTTGATAACACTGTCCACCCACTGGATCTCTCTCACTGTCTCCCTTCATAATCCCAAATCTCCTGCTGTCTCAGGGGTTTACAGGCTCTCTGCTCCCAGGTGTGACATCTTTGATTCGGGCAGTGCCTCCTACACATCCAACAAACCACACATTCATTACAAAAGGTACAAGGCTGTAAAAGCTCAGCTAACATAGCATAGAGTCTTCATCACATCCTTTTAACCACTGGTGAGACTGTACAGTTGGAATTTCTTGTGCTAAGCAGAGTTGGTGTCTCATGATGCTGAGATGCAAGCGTTTATCACTTGAGGCTACTGGGTAAAGAGACCACACAAAGACTTCATTATTGAGGGACTAAGAAGCATGGTTATGTGTTCACCCAAAGGGGAGAGAAATCATAAGAAGTATATTTCTCATTTTCTCAGAGAGGGAAGAAAACTGCATACAATGCAACACCAAGGAGTTCAATCAATGCCCCTCACAGTCTCCACAGAAACGGACTAAAATAAGCTTTACAAGTATATGACTGGCTTTTGCAGTATCCTACAATAAGGGAGATATTTTTCTTTTCACTCTGCTACATTTATTGTCAGCTGTATAATAAATGAGTGCTTGCAGATTTTTCAACAGGCAATGCTGTGTTATAAATGAAACCAGCAGTATGTGAAGTAGCTGCTATTGACAAAGAGTGTGTGCTGAGTTGGTGATCATGGGGTTAAGTTTTCCTCCTCTGCCGGGCGTTGATCCCTCATAATGGGATGTGCCACCGAGTCGCTCTGCTGGTCTAAGCTACAGCAGGTCAACATATTCAGCGCGAGAGGCGGGCCTATCTGCAGGGAAGATGAACTGTGGACTCGGCGCTATTCTGTGGTAGTGATTTCATCGGCGGAGAGCTGAGGAGCCTCGGACAATACTTTTGGACATGGTGACACGTGGGTTTTTGTGGGTGAGAGGACCCGCCGGCCACCCGTTGGATTAACCGGTCGTCGCATGTGTCCCGGACTGCTCCTCTCTCACCTCGGGGACCCGGCGATGCGCTCTTTAAAGGAAACGGGTTTCGCAGAAACATCCGGAAAACGCATCCCGGCGCCACGGCCACTCCGCATCCCGATATGCCTCTGACAACACAAAGCCTGGTTTCAGGGAGCCCCGATGAGAAACCTCACATGCAAATCGGCATGGGCGCGTCAACACGTTTATTTCGCTATATGTTTATGCGGATGAGGCTTCGGAGCGCAGATGTACAATGAGACAATCGGGATTTATCAAGTAGACTTTATTAATAGGCTACATAATCAGACAATATGGCTGATCAGAGCAACATCCAGTCCGCCGCCTCCAAGAGTATCCGGCCTTTTAAATCCAGCGAAGAATACCTGTATGCCATGAAGGAGGATCTGGCTGAATGGTTGAATACCCTGTACGAACTAGATATTACTGCGGACACCTTTATGGATGGGCTGGGGACGGGCTGTGCCCTCTGTCGGCACGCCAACAACGTGAACCGCGCCGCGCAGGACTTCCAGCTGGAGTACCCGGAGGCTGCACAGTCCATGAAGGTGCCATCTAAAGATGTTGGCTTTCAGTCGCGCAACGTCGTCCCGGGCTCGTTCGTGGCGCGGGATAACGTGTCCAATTTCATCACCTGGTGCAGGCAGGAGCTCTGGATCAAGGACGTCCTCATGTTTGAGACCAACGACTTGGTGGAGAGATGCAACGAGAAGAATTTTGTTCTGTGCCTCCTTGAGGTGGCGCGACGTGGGTCCAAGTTTGGCATGTTGGCCCCCATGTTGATCCAGCTGGAGGAGGAGATCGAGGAGGAGATTCGGGACCAGGAGAGCCTGCGGATCGATGCAGGGGAGCCGGCTGAGCAAAGCCCGCCCAGCAGGTGTTTCAGTCGCAAGGAGAGCAGTCACAGTGTGGAGGATGAAGATGAACCTGAACCGGAGCCGTTCGTCTGGCAGCAGAAGAGGGTTTTATGTGACATGCGAAATTTGGATGAGTTGGTGAGTTGAAATGATAAAAACACAAGCAGTATATATTAGTAGGCTCTCCTGGTTCATAGTAGCATCCAGGTTTAACTCTGAATCACCCTAGAGGACACCATAAAACCCCCAAATGTGTCATAACTGCATCATTATTCATGTATGTCGTCATACTATGATCATTACACTGTCTATGAAGTTCATAGACGGTCATAGACGATAGAAGTAAATATCTAGTGTGTTTTGTCTGGTACTAAACAGTTTGTAGTGGGTGATAGAAGACCAATTTCTCCCAAAGTATAAATACACAGAAATGTGTCAAAAGTGAAGCACCCATCCTGAAAGTATCATGTCGATGCTATGAAGAAGGCAGGCCCCTACAGATTCCCTGTGGTGTGGGTGTGTGAGTAGCCTACATATATGCATAACTTTGTTTTAAGTTTTTGTTTTTTAAATTCTGGCTCACCTGAGGAGGGTCAGTTTGTGTTTGTCAGAAAAGTCACAGGTCAACTCAGTGACATTTCTCCTGCATTACCCAATAATAAATAATAATAATAACCCAATACAGCATCCTGAAGGCCAAGAAGATTCTTAATCTGTGCTATTTTTTTCTCTCAGCTTCTTGGCTAACACTTCTAATAAAGTCCCTTTTGGCCATTTCCTGTCCTGTGGAATTCCAACCATTCATACTTTTGTCACTTGTCCAGTTGAACTGGTTGGCCTTTGCCATGGCCTGCACACATGAGCACATAACAGAGGCAACGATCTTGTTAGGGCAGAGCTAATGAGCAGACAGGCCAGCTTGGGCTGTCAGTCGTGGGGGGGGGTTAATGTTTTCACTTTGATGAGAAGAACAATGTCCGTCTTTGGCACCAAGAGGTGTGAGGGACAGCAGAGGGGGAGGAGGGCAGACAGTCACACTCATGCTTGTCAGGCAGCAGAGCAGAGCGCCTCTAATGTGACATCCACAGATAGAAATAGGAGAGCATGTGGAAGAGGATGTGCGCTGTTCGTATTCCAGACTGTCTGAGTCCGCACATATGACTGCGTGCTGAGGATTATAAAAGCTGACTACATTTTGGGATGGAAAGATTGCAGGAAAGCTACAAGAGTGTATATGTGTCTTTCCTTTTCTGTCATCTGACTGACACATCCATCAGCACACACACAAACACACACACACACACACACACACACACACACACACACTGTACACAGTCTCATCTGTCGGACATTGACATTTGACTGATTTGGGAAGTGGCATTCCCAGTCATCTGTTCCAGCCTCCCTGTCAACCTTAGAAACCTGCTTGCATGTAAGCTGTACAGAACAGCCCACATCAGTAACATGAGGCTCTTCAAAGGAGAGACCACAGTGGAACAATGATGAGATGCCACAATATTAAAATAGTAGCCTACAGTATTATGAAGGGTACTTTACTGTGTTTCCACATCCTTTCTAACGGCTGCATCTGCTTGTGGTCAGTTTGTCATTTTGAGGCCCAGACTTTGTGTGAGACACGTTACCAACAAATAGTCTCTTCATTTCCTGCACTGTAGTATTTTTTACCAGGAAACTATCTAAATGAAATCCACATTTTTCTTTAAATAGTTCGATCAATATCTGCAAATTCAGCTACCCACTCAGTTCTTGCCTCAAGGCATCAGGCTTCTCTGTCCTCTATAACATCAGTGACAAGTTTATCCTGCAGAGAACTGGAGCACTTTTCTTTGTATTTCTGTCAGATTTAGTGGTAGAGATTAGTGTCTTGTTATTACTGGAAACCTCATTGCTAGTAGGCATGAGTATCTAACAGGGAGGATGAGGAAGAAAGTTAAAGGGCTTAGTTTCATTGGTCCACAGCTGTGACACCAGACTGTGTGTCTGCTACCCTCTTTCATGAGAGCAGGCAGAGGCGACTCCACTGCACCATCCAAGATGGCTTGTATTTAATGGGAGGATCTGGCTCATTTTTTAATGAATGAATATTTTTTATTTACTGATTTTTTCTCTGTGAATTTGATCTTTTATTCATGATGTGTTCATTTTGAAGCTCCTTTTAAAAAAAATACATAATTTATTAACCTATTCATATCCAATAACATTATGGCTGAAATGTTATCAATTAATTACCAGGCCATTAACTCCCACAGAGACGTGCACAGCAGCCTCACATGTTCAAACTGAAATGCTACAAATGCTCAGCTTCCACCTAGTTATCATAGTGTCTTTACAAAAACCTTTATGTGAGCCAACAGATGTTGAGGGGGAACATCTACCTACGGTCACTGTTTGTACACGAACCCAGGATGTTGTCATTACATGTATGCGCCACCATGATGCCTCAATCCAATTAAATCTCAAACAGAAAACGAGTGTATGCATGACCACCAAGCATTTTATACCTGTATTTATAGTAGAGCAGGTATGCAGGATCATATTTATTTATTATTCTATTATAAAAAAAGTCATATATCACTTTAACTTCAACTTTAAATTCTGGTGCACTATTTTATAGAAGTTCTGTCTTTGTTTCTTGTGCGTCTCACAGCATCTCAGTGAGATTTATACATTTAGCAGCTGTTTATCCTTCTATGTGTTGTGTGGTAGTTGGATGATCAAACTAATCTTCTTGTTGAGTTCAACACGACAATGCAAGTGTGGTGATAATAGGATTACAGGTCATTATTCTATTGAGTGTAACAGTGTGCATACAAACAGCAGGATCATTTTAAGTATAAGTCCCTTTAAGGACATCTGGTTATTAAATATTAACAGTAAAAATGTATCACCAAGTATTGTAAGTTATGATTTGTCATTTGTCAGTACATTCAGCTTATGTAACGTATGTGACTCAGTAAACTTGTGACTCACAAACAAACATGCATTCACACCAGCTACCTGAGGATACAATAGTTATTTAATCTTAGGAAAGCTGCTGTCTGTCCAGTTAACTTTCCTGGTTACAACACACCTCCATGTAAATACTGTGTCTCCCACTGATCTGCCAATATGTACGTCATTACTCATCTCACTGTAGACAGCTTTCCAGTCTCAAGTTGAGGAAGTGACCGGCGTCTCATTTCCTTCGTCAGTTAGTCAGTAGAGTCAGTGATACTTGTGAGTCTAAATGTGCCACCTGGAAGCCTCCAGCTGGTTTACATCGCTATATGTCCACATACATTTTATCTTTTCATTTTATCTTTTATCTTCTAAGGGATTTTCTCTTCTACATAGGGATTACAAAGAATGATCTAATTCTTAGTTTTGAGATGCAAACTGACATTCATTTCATAATTGAAATTACACCTACTGACCCTTTAATATACCCTGTAATTGTTCACATGTTTACTGCATGCATAGGCATATATACAGTAACATATTTCAGCTTATGAACAAGAGACCATAGGATTGGCACAACCTTTGTCGTTGTCCTTCATCTTTCCTTCTTCTTGCTCACTAAACTGGTTCATGTGTCGTCTCACCCCAGGCTTCAACATTCAGCCCATGTTTAGTTCATATATGTGCAACCCCCCCCCCCCCCCATTCCCATCCCCCACCCGTCTCCTCTAGAGATGATAAAGCAAAGAGCACAACAGTATGTCTTATTGGCGGTATTGAAGAAGAGTAGACAGGCGCTGCTGTTGACAGCAAGGTAATCAAAGGCTGACATCTCAATCAAAGACTTTTGGATTGAGACACCAGCAGAGCAAAGGGGAAGGGCAATAAATAGAGGCAATGCCTGCATGGACAGCCTGATCCATTAACCTTATGGTCCAATTGCTGCATTCAGGGAATAAAAAAGGGGGCGTAGACAACAGATAGTGTGCCTAGAGTGACTTTACTGTATACTCTGTTAAACCTGACTGGAATGGATGTACTCTGGGAGGGAGAGCTACAGTAGAGAGGGAGTCAGAGTGAAAGAGAAAAGTAGGTCATCATGCTCTTCATTGGGTCACACTGATACGCTTTGCTGAGAGAGCGTGGCATCCTTCAGTGTTTCTCCCTCCTGTGTCACATGCACTCATGTTTTTAGGGCTTTCATTTTTTAAAGGTTTTATTTTTACCCTCTAGACTCTGCACAGCAACAATTCAGACCAGAACTCACTCTTCAGCCCTATTTTCCATGCAGCAGGGTGCATGTGGAAACAGCTGATTCTGCACTTTGCATATTGCCCGCTTCATACCTTCATTGCAGCGTTTGATGCATCACCTGAGGGTTTGCATGATTATCATTTAATTGGGTGTTCAGCTGAATAAGCTTTTATCTGTGTGAGTAGTCTGGATATTTTCCTCACCTGCCTGCAGCCTCCTCAAGCTGGTTTCAGGTGAAGACTGTCCTCAGTAGGACATCAATCCCTCTAATTTCTGCTGACACAAGGAGATGTGCTGAGTGTTCTTGAGCCTCATCAAAACAAACCGGCAAATGACTTAGACACTGGCCTGGTATTTAACTTCCTGCACTGGGCGATTACACTGCTATTTGACTGAAGCAGATGAACAACAGAGTTATTCACTTTGCAGTACTTGATGTCCATTAGATTGCCCTATCCTCCCACCCCCCAGTGAGCAGTTTGTCATGTGGCCAGAAGATAGGCATCGATTTTCAGAGAATGGTTTCCTTGAAGCAGTGGATGACGCCTACCTTAGAACAAGTATGATTATATTTTTCACCCTGTTCAAACACACAACACAGGTTATAGAATGGAGGCATGTTTATTATTATTGTAACTGCTAAAGGAATAGTTTGACATTTTGTGAAATATTGTTATTGGCTTTCTTGTTGGGAGTTAGATGAGAAGCTTGATATCTCTCACAGTAGATATGAAGCTACAGCCATGAGGTTAGCTTAGCATTAAGACTTGAAATGTCTAGCCTGGCTCTGGCCAAAGAACAAACAAAATCTAAAACTCACTAATTGACATGTTATATCTCAGTAAAAAAAAAGACAAAACAGTGTTTTATTAGAGTCTGGGAGCGGTACATTCCCGGAGTCTGAGTCTGAGTCTGTTCCTGGAAAATAAATAGTCTGCCATTTAACCCCCCATATGATGGCAAATATTTGTTTTCAAACAAGCTGTTTGTGTTAAAAATGGATCTGAAGATTTGCTGGTATAGGCTGGCTAAGCTAGCTGTTTACCCTTTATCCAGTCTTTGTGCTAAGCTAAGCTAACTGGCTAACTGTAAGAGTGATATCAATCTTCTAACTCTTAGCCAGGTAGAAAATATGACTATTTCCCAAAATGTTATTGCTTTAATCCATTCTTTGTTTAGATTCAATGCCAAACATATAACCATAACTTACTATTTTATTCTGTCAGACGTTACCAACATTCAGTGATATACCTGACCCTGGGGCATTTATCCAAGTGTTTTTCTGTCTCATCTCTAGACACCTTTCTTTTGGTCTTGCCTGTTGGACCAGCATGCTAATAATCTCTAAATACACAAGTTATCTCTGGAGTTTGTCCTCTCAGGCTACATGTCTGACATTATTATCGCGAATGTAGTCATTTGTGACCTCCCAGCACCCCCGCCTCCCAGGTTGTGAAAAGAGATCATTTTGTGCGAAGGAGGCTGTTTCATGTTTATGAGATTTTGCATGGTTGTCCAGAGAGGAGTCATTTATACGGGCTGTCAGGCCAGTTGTTTGATAGAGGATATACTCTGATATGTAGCTGTTTTCTGTGTGCGTTCACAGGCTTTAGGAATGCTTACTGTGGGTGGTGGAGCAATAATCCCAATCAAGTTTCAAAAAATCTCCCTACTGCTAAACAGGCTCCCCAGGGGCAGAGTCTTTGTGTCTATCTGATGGTGAAGTTTCTAGTCTTGACAGGAGATCCTCAAGGCAATAAGATGAGCTAAGAGAAGAGTCTTGTTGTCATTTTTTTAATTCACCTTGAAAGTTCTGTATGTGCTGTACCATATATCCTATCTTGAATATATATTTAACCCAATTTTCTTTACCTTTTGAAAGTACCATGTATTTTGTCATAAACCACCCAATGTACGTTTGTCTCTCTGGCGGCACAGATGTCAGATCCTGGAAACACCCTTGTAAATTCCAGCTGAGTGAGTTGTTGCAATGTTCAGTTTGTATAGTTGGTGTTTGGCAGTAATGATCTTTTTGCATAGCAATCACAAAAGGAGCTAGTTACAGCAGGCCAGCACTCCCATGTTTGATGACTGCACTAGTACAAACTGTGTGGTCATACATTGCTTGTTGACTCACGAGGATAACTGACAAATATTCAAATGGATTTGTAGCTTCTCAGCGTACAGTAATGACATTTGGATCTCCGTCGGAAAACCTGAACCACAAAATCAGAAAACCAAAACTATATTTTGTGTCTACACATAACAACAACTAATAAATTCAAATAACAAGAAAGCAAATGTATATTAAAAGTAAAACAATATTGGCAACCCTTATACATTCCTTTGTTATGATACCATTATGTTAAGCTAGGGCATTAGTGTAGCATGTTGGTCCACATTTCAAATCAGTAAAGCGTAAGGAAATTGGGAATAAAACCTAAACATCTTTATCTCTCCCCCACCCATTTCCTCTCGTCATCCCCAGGGTTTGCTCAGCTCTCCGTCTCTGCCTATATCTCCCATGAATGGCCCTTCAGATGTTTGCAGGTCAGGAAGGAAAGGAATGAGGTTGTTGACTCACACTGAGCAGATATGACTCGATCTGAGCAGTGAGGAATATGTACTGTAGATGTTCTTTACACGAAACTGCTTGGAGACAAACCCGGCTGCTCAATTCAAATGGCATGCCCTCAGCAGTCTCTTAATAATGAAAGTGGTTCTCTTTCTGTTCATGCCAAAACATCTCTGCATTCCTATCCTAAGATTGATACAGCAGATTCCCAGTATAGGGGCGTGCTGTGGATTGTTCAGTTGCTGTTCGTTTTTCTCTCTTTTCCTTCTCAAACATCTGCAGCTCTTGCTGAAAGAGTCTCTCGCGACCCACATGCATCCATAATTCATCCTTCAGTTTTTCGTAGTGTCTCAGCTCCACTTCCGCATGTTTCCTGCGTGACCTTGTGTCTCTCCTCCCCTTCCATCTCACTGTGTGTGTGTGTGTGTGTGATAATAGCATGTGACGGCGTGCGAGTTTTGGTTTCAGTGTGTGAGTGTACACATTGTTGACAGAGCAAAGACATGGGAAGCGCACACATTTCATGCCAGAGGTTCCACAGAATAAATATTTCAACTGTCAGTCCTGCTATTGATTAGGTTGTTATTAAAACACTTCATGGTTGGGCTATGTATCCTGCTCAGTGTTTTATCTGGGACACAGTGTGCGTGTCCTTCACCTTCCCTCTGGAGCAAAACGTATGACCTCAGCTGAACAGCATTGGGGGAGGTTTTGGTGCGAGAGAAAGGCTTTACTATAGCAAGAATGAAAAAAAAGAAGGCAAACTGTACAGTAATAAAAGGGAAGTGTAAGGATATGTGTGTGTCTGTTGCCATAGTAATCTTTCCATTAACTCACTGGCTAGGGTTTTTCCAAGCAGGGCTCGTCCACCTACTGACTGAACGAAAGATGAAGTGGAGAGAAAGAGAGGGAGAGAGCAGATGTAGAAATGTAAGCAAAACAAAGAAAGCAAAGATAAATATAGGCCGGGTCAGCTAGTGCACAGGCTGAAAATAAAGGCTGATGGACAACAAAGCAGATGAGAGAGAAAAGAAGAAATGACAGGAGCAGGTGAGAGGGAGGGGTGGGGGGAGAAGATGAGATGCTAAGGCTTAGTACTGATTCCACCCTCTTTAATTAGCATGGGAAAGAAAGAAGGGTGCTGTTTCAAGAAAATAACAAGGTGCCTCCTTAATCTTCTGAATACCCCATAATGTAGGTGTTAAAGGCCAACCCTCTCACACACACGCAAGCCATATCCTTTCTGCCCTGTACACAGCATGAAAGGTACTGTAAACAGCCAAAGGGTGGGAGCTCACAACCTGACATTTTCCTCCAACACGTCATTTGATCAATCAAATATCAATATAAGACACCCCTCCCCTTTGTAATAGCTGCCCTTGCAAGCAGAATTATGGGGCACTCATTCTTCTTTTCTTCTTGTGCTTTTCTCCGTCCACTTTACTTTCTCTCCCTCGTGGTCGACAAGTGCGCACACGCCTTTTGTCTGAGAGGGACGCCAAGGAAAACATCAAAGTTGGCCAATCCTGAGAGAGCCCAGGCCTGTGCAACACAGGCGGATCTCGCTCCACCCTGCAGTTGTGTCTGACTCCAGTTGCCTAATAAGCACCCCCAACCACAGCAAGGGCACGGGCTCTGACTCTCTCGATTCAAAACCCAGCTGGCAGCACAGGCCTGCTGACATCATCACCGGTCTGGTTTCCCAGCTCGTTCCCTCCTCAGTTTGTGATGTCACAACAAGCAACACAGTCACGTTCGTTAACAGCCGAGAGAGGGAGAGTACTCATTAGCGTGTCCACATATGTATTTGTGTTTTTGTGTCGCTTTGCGATGGTCTAAATGTTCTCGAGAGATGAGATGAGCCAGGGCTTCTTAATGTGGTAAGAGAGCAGGGCGGGGCACCCAGTAGGTGCTCAGAGGGAACGGTTGGCAGGAAGATACTCGCACACACTCTCAACACCCTCATATCCTCAGGCAGGCCAAGACTGCTCATTCCTCACACCATAAAACAGAGTTGTTGTGTTGTTGACACAGCACTCAGGACCAGCAGCATTTTGGTTGGTTACAGATTACTGGTTACAGATATATGACTAAACATGAGCTCATGTTGGAGCACTGACCTGACGAACAGAAAGGGATCACTGTGAGCTTCCTCACGGATGTGTGTGTCATGTTTTTCTGCTGTGGGTGTTGAACTGCTCTGTTTTGTTCTCCTCAGGTGCGTGAGATCCTGGGCCGGTGTTCCTGTCCAGCTCAGTTTCCCATGATTAAGGTGTCGGAGGGGAAGTACAAAGTGGGAGACTCCAGTGCATTGATCTTCATAAGGGTAGGCCCGCGCCACCATACACAGAGTTATCTGTCACTGTGGACAATGAGACATGTCTTTGTGTCTGAGTTTTTGGGATTAAGGTACACAGATAAACAGTAAAAAATAATTGTGCATCATATTGTCAATGAAAATGTTAAAGAATTAAAGAATAAAGGTTTCTGCACACTGTTAGGTAACTTGCACTTAATGGATAACTCTATTTTATTCCAACTTGCGTCTTATTTGAGTATTTCTTTCTAATCAATTCTAGTAATTGTAACATTATACAAACCATGTAAATTGCTGAGATCTGGGAACAAGGAATCATCACAACAAACAAGTAAGATAGGGCAAGAAAGACAACTATCAGACAGGTTTTAAACAAACCCACTAAGTTTGAAAGAAAGAAAAATTATTGGTACAATTATTAACTGTCTGTGGTAAACATCCTTCACAGTTTACAGAGCTCCTGATTTAACTTTGACAAAAAAAAATCCCACCCACCTCGATTTTGCTCTAAATTTTACCACCTTTGTGTTTGAATCATTGTCATGTGCATCTTGGTGGTTACCTGGTGTTATGAGGGATTCTTACCAACATTTCTGGTGTTCTCACTTTCAATTTTACTTACAGATAAAGCGGTTTATCTGAATAAACAGTCTAATTTATCTGACCACTTGTGTTTATAGACTAAGCCAAACTGTAGCCAAAACTACAAGAAAAGTCGACCTAAGTCGTAATAAATTATCCTTTCAGTCAGTTTTACACTACATGTTTAGCTGGATATATATAAGCTACTTTGGCACATAGCACAGAACAGAAGACAGTGAGGCCGGCAGTAATTGCATGCAACCATACGGTGCTGGCATATGGCATCATATGTTGCTTCAAGGACAATAAGGCTATGTAGCAACAGATAAACCACTCTCTCCCGTGTGAGTGTTTACAAGCTGCCTTCATCTGGCCCACTCCCAGAACTGTACTTTTTTCCACCGAGACACAATTAGAGCTTTAGGTCATTTCCTGAGTCGGCCCTTATCTTGGCTGTGGCCTGTTTCTGCTGGACTTTTTGTCTCAGTTTCAGTTTAAGAGCTTTAGCCACACCAGGCCTCACAGGACTGGGCAGGAAGGCTGGTGGATACCAAGGATTGATTTGGTCTCACTTACCTAAAATGTACACCGACCAGGTTAATGGTGTCTTTGGATGGCATTCCAAGTTGTATTAATTTACATTATAGGTCTATGTGACGGTCAGTAATGTCAATATTTTTTCACTGTGAGCGGCACCACTTGGTCCAGACAGGGACATATGATATACACTTTTTGGCACACCCCTGTCTGGGAATGAACTTTTTCTACGTTCACGGTGGGCTGTACATTTATGCAAGAAGCTACGTCTTCAAATGTATCGTGTTTTGAATTTACCAACTGTAATGGACTGAATAAAATGATGGGATTGCGAAGATGAGTTGAATTTTATATTTGACTTTTTTAAAAAGCGAGACCTATCCCTTACTTTGGACCGTTTACTTGTAGAAAAAAAATGCCCTCCACTTAATAGTGTAAAATATTGTACTGGGTTGGTACAAAAAGAATTAAAGATGCTGTGATCAAATTTTATACTTATAACATGACTTACATTAACAGAGTGATCATTTTCACACTAGTGTGTAGCCACCAATGCATACATTAGAAGTGGAATCAATTTCCAAATTTATGAAAACATAACTAAAGGGTTAATATTCCAGCCACTCTCTGTTGTCCATGACTTTACAAAAGGCCAACTTTATATGACACAATTAACACAATTATTTCTATTGTATGTGATAAATGAAGTCCTGAAACAGAGACAGGATTGTTCTCATTTACCGTGTGTGTCATAAACACACTTTTGTGATACATTATACATCAATCCTGCAAGGGAGGGCTGAAGTGTAAATTTAGAGGGAGAAAAAATTAAGACCCTTTGCTGCTCCCCCCCTCAAAAATTAGATCTCCCTCCCTTCAGCAAAAATAAAAATACACAACCCTCCTCCTTTTCTGACCTTTCCTCCCTCCTGATCATTTTCTTACAGTCCCTAAGATGTAGTGTGAAGTCCGTGGTCTATGGAAGCTCATGTCCACCTGCTGGAACAGCTATTTTAATATGACAGGCATATTTAAATGTGCCTCTTTGCAACGTGTGTGAGCCACTGACATGTCAGATTATCCCTTGTCAGCCACTGTCTCCGCCCACTCCTGATTCCTCACAGGGGATGACAGTGATTATGCATATGCCCAAGCAGCTACAAGTGCGGCCAACACACTTCCCTTGTTCTTCAGAGGGGAGGAAAGAAGCAGTAGCTTTGAAAGACAACAAACCCCTATTCATCTGACAAAGCTCTGACAAGGATCTCGTGCTGAACAAGGGGATGGAGTGGAGAAAGCGGCATATGAACACATGGGGGGAGTTAATAAGGCATCCTTGTCCCCGGGGAGGTCGTTCCCTAGAGGGTGGAGATGCCTTCAGTCATGGGCCACAACAGCTGAAATGAACCATGGGCTTAATTTTTTAACTCACTTGAAAGACATAACAAGAAATTGGTTCAACACACCCCCACAACGATGACAAGAAGACTCTCTATACGCTGTTGCCATAGAAACAAAGACCGGTGAAGACTGTGATACCCCTTCAGTGGTTGGGAAATCAGGCAGCTAAGCCACAGATCTGAAGTGGCACATGGTCCCAAAACATCTATTTAGCCTCAGCACGCTCCTCAGTATTGCTGCAGCATTATCTTTGAAATATGTAATGCACAATAAGCTTGCTGGATATGGTGTTTGTATTGCAATTTTAATCATTTACCTTCTGATTGTGCTGCAAGTTTAGACCCACAAATAAGTAGGTTGTGTTAGCTGTATAGTGTATCACTGATCTGCTGTTGTTTTTTTGTCACCTTTGTGAACAATGTTTAAAATATACAACGCTTTCTTCTGTCTCTGTGATCGCATTCTGTTGTTACATGACTACAAGACTATGAAGAAAGTAATTTTATGAGCTGACAGTCTGGAAATTAGTACTGTACAATTAGCATTTTAAGACCCTCAGTAACTCTCTTTATAGTCATGCAATTATCCCTCTCGAGTTACACAAAGATATTTGTTTATTTGGATTCCCAGTAGCTGGGAATGACGGCTACTCCTCCTCCACAGTTTAAAAACAATACCAGATTTATTATATAGAGATATGGAGCCGTCTAAATAAATCACAACAACACCTCTATTATAGTGTACTGTACACTGTGCAAAAACTAAAATAGGTCATCACAAAGAGAGTCAGATTTGACAGCAGATCTATTATGTAAACTGCTAAGACAAAGCAAAAGTATGTCTGTTGTGTTGAAAAAGGTCTATTCCTCCTGTTCCTGTTACAGCGTCATACCTCTACAGTATGTGGATCTCTCTTTGTGGATCTTTGTGATCTTTTGTGATGTGTATGTTTATACCAGGGGTGATGAAAATATGATATGAAACTCGTGCAGCCTGGCTTCTTACTGCTGGCGCATGATGGTCACACAGCATCACACAAACAGTAAACCTGTTACTGACATAAGGCCAGAGCAGTGGAGAGTAAGCAGTTTATACTCTCAGGTCTGATAGAGATAAGCAGATCAGCTGTTTTGACGGATTTGATGTAGTAGCGGAGCAAGGCCGATGAAAAGACTTGTAGTGGATTGGCCGGGGTTCTGTTAGAGAGAAGGTGGGGTCAGACTTTGGTGCACATACCATGTCTGTGGCCTCGCTCTGACCATGGTCAAGGGGCTGGGAATGAGGCGCTGTGCCACGTGTGATTTGGAGGAAATAAACTCTGTGCCAGCCCACACAGATGCACCATTATGGCTTTGCCCTGCCTGCCCTCTGAGACACGGGTACAACCTTTAAAACATGTGGCTGGCAGACACTGTTACACAACCCAAGGCAGGGGGATGCATCGACGGGGCTCTCGCATCAGTCAAATTGTGTTGCTTCAGTGAAGGCAGCTTCTGCCTGGAGGGAGTGAGGCTCTTTGGTCTGATCTTGTGGCTGTGTGTGCCTCAAAGAGCAGAGGAGAGTAGGAAGTGACATATCCACCAACCCCCCTCTGTTATGGCTGTCCAGGCCCCTTCTCCTGTCTACTCCTCTCCTCGATAACTGAAATCTCAGCTGAGGAGCAGGGAGGACAGCAGGGGGGTGAGTTGTTACCATGCTAATTCACCCTGCTAACCCTCTGAAAACACGGTGAAGCCAGCTGAGAGGCAAGAGAGAGAGGGAGAGAAAGAGGGAGAGAGAGATAAAAAAAATGTGTCTTTCACAGCACTTAGGCTGTTTATTGTGCTGCCATACTCTATCTAATTGTGAGTTGGCATGGCAATGAACAGCCCTCATAATGGCAGCATCTGGGGGTGATGGGGGAGAAAGAGGAGGTGTGGGGGAGGGAGAGGCAGGAGCATAGGCAGGGGTGCATCTAGATGTTATGTAACACTGGAGGCCTGGCCAGCCTTCAGCAAGCTGCCCCACTTGTGGAATTTGCATATCTACTGACTTGTGCAGTGTGTGTGGTAGTGCAGTAAAGGTTTAATCATTTCAGTAGTGCATGAATGTGTATGTTACTTTCTGCTCATCTATTCAAGCTTGCTTTTGTCTCTTCCTCCCTCAGGTCCTTCGTACTCATGTGATGGTGCGTGTTGGAGGGGGCTGGGATACATTGGAGCACTATTTGGACAAGCATGACCCGTGTCGCTGTGCTGCTTTTGGTGAGGTCACTTCCTATTCCCCTCCCTCACTCCATAATTCCTCTACTGGTAACTGATTCCACAAATCATCTGTGTAACAACATTTTTATATACAGTCTATGGTAGCAACTCATCTCAACACAAAACCTTTTTTGGTCGCACCTGTCCTAACCATTCAATTGTTTGCACTCCCTTTGATGAGAAGCACAAGTGATACATGCCTATAACTATGTTGGGTGAGACCCTCCTTATCCGTGGGTCCAAACTGCTGCTGAAGTGGTGATGTCAAGGGCCAAGCGTCTGGCCTGGACAGCTGACACTAGCTGAAATCATAATTGCTGTTACATTTCTAACCACAAGAGAGACCATTTTGGGGATCATAGAGTATTAAGTGAATACAGAAATAGGCGTGTTCTCCCTAAATGATTGGATCATCAGCATTTGTCTGGTCGGCTAGTACTGTTACTTTCACAAGTAAGGGCCCATCTCTCTGGCTCAGGGAAGCATTACAATATGTTATCTACTGCTGCTATCTAAGAGTTTGATGACATAGATGTGGTTAGGTATGATATATTTCTGCATCTCTAAATGCCTCATATCCCTGGTGGTTGTGCAGGCTGTCTAACAATGCTGGTTAGAGGTCTGTCTTAAACACTTGTTATCGATCTGTCTCCCCAGCCCACCGCTATCACCAGGCTAAAGCCAGTGGCCAAGGTCAGGGAGCCCATAGCAAGTCCTCGAGTGCCCACTCCTCCCGCTCCACTAGCCCAGGTCCACACTGGCGAAATGATGGCATCGCACCTTACAAACCTCCTGACAGGCGCTCGCTGGAGCCTCCCCCTGCTCCATGTTCCGCCTCCTCCTCCTCCTCTTCCTCCACTCGGCCCGGCCGCTCTCAGAACCCTTCTGGTTCCATGGAGCTCGACTCCGGTGCAGCACGTACTCTAGTCCCACGGCCGCCACGAGACCGC